TATTGCTCATAATTTAATGATGGAAAACAATGTTACTGGTAGCACAGAGAATACTGGATTTGATGCCCTCTTAGAGGATGATAAGGATAAGGTAGAAAAAGTTCTGTTTCTCTTGGATAAGTTCTGTGTGGGCGATGCTTTTTACCATGAGATAACCATGCTGGTAGATGGCTTGCCAAAGTCATAGTTAATTAAGCAAAGAAGAAGCCAACTTGATAAAATGTACCATATAACCTCAACACCCGGGGAAGACCATGGAGCACAACTTCCATTCAAGGAATTGTTACAAGACAGAATAAAGGAATATTTAATTACTCCCCCAATGCTGCAAAAAACAATGAAACAATTAAAGTTAAAATTTCTGGAGATAGAGCACAAATGACTAGAACATCAAATTTTATTTTGATGAGCTTTGCTCTTTTGGAATCTACAGATGATATTTTGGCAGCGAAAGGAAATCACACCATAGCGGTTGTAAAGGGCAAAGAAGATTATGTTGTATTGAAAAATTGTTTCAAAGATGTATTGAGTGACACAAATGACATGGTGAGAGAAAAGAAAATAGATCTGGGGGAAGATATAGTAAATTTAGAGTTCTTTCTTGGTGGGGATTATAAATTCATATTGCTTATGATGGGTCTTAGTGGTGCCACATCAAACCATGCCTGCGCTTGGTGCAAAATCCACAAAGATGAGAGGTGGAACATGGCTTACGACTTGAACCACTACAACTCACCACCCCTTAAGCATACAATAAAAGAAATGAAAGAATTAGCAGGGAAAAAAAACAATTTCTGTTGTGTGAATCCCCCCCTAATAGATATTGATTTGGACCATGTGATACTAGATGAATTGCATTTGCTATTAAGAATCATGGATGTTTTGATTAATAATTTGGTTACTGAAGCTGTACATTGGGACCAGCAAGATAACTGGACCAAGAGAAAGAAGGACCAAACAACAAAACATTTAGATAAATTAAAAAATACAATTAGATCTTGTGGGGTCACATTTGAAATTTGGGAAAAATCCAATGCAGATGGCAAAAGATCTGGCCAATATGACTTTACTAGTTTATTGGGGCCTGACAAGAAAAAATTATTGAAGGAACTTCCTGAGAAGCTCACAGGTTTGGTCCGTCCAGAAGCTGAACATGATGTGAGAAGCCTCTGGCTTAAATTTTCCATAATATATTCCATAGTCACTTGCAAAACACCCTCACAAGACATGATTGGGAACATTTTTTGTAAAGTACAGGAATGGATTAATCTTTTTGTTTCTCTAGGAAACACATACATCGGTTACAGAAGATGCAATGTCACACCCTACATGCATGCCATGGTTTACCATTTACCAAAATTTTTAGAAACCTACAAAACTGTAAAACTATTTAGTGGTCAAGGTGTTGAGAAAAATAATGACGTAGCCAGAAGCATAGTGTTAAGAAAATCAAATAATTGGGATGCCGCTGCAGACGTTTTGAAACTTGAGTCAAGGCAATGGGACCTAAGAGAGAAAGAACGTATAAAAAGATCATACACTAAAAAAAATAGCCAGTACTGGGAACATGAGCTTGAAGAAGAAAGAAAAAAGAGAAGAAAAACATTAATATGACATGGAAAACATTTCAGTCTGCAGGCAAGTTCCAACGTTCAAAATTTCACAATACAATACAGATAGTTTTGAAGTGCACCTGACCAGAAACAACCTGTCTTAAACTGTATAACGGGTCATTCCAGAGGAGATTTATACTCCCCACACCAAGGAAACCACTGCCTTCTACAGTGTGGGGGGGTGTTGGGTGTTGGGTGTTGGGTGTTGAGGGTTAATATAAAAATTCTTCTACGGGGGAAGTATGAATTTTTTCTGGAATGCCAAATAATATTAAAAATTGAATCTAACGGTAAATGAACAAATGGACAAGCACAAAGTCCCGGTGCATCTCAAAACATTTTTAGGCACAGTTATTAAGTAAGAGTTATAAACCGAGAACGTGGGATGTAAGTCATATATTTGACTTACTGTATATACAGTAGTTATATCCCAAGTTCAAGGTTTATAACTGACTTATTTTCTAGTTGAGAAGGTTTTCCAACAAGATTTCATTAATTTCAAAGTCCATCCATCAAGATTTTTCGAGTTTTGTCAACAAGATTAATCTAAATACAGGTTATAACCTGTATACGTCCCACGGTATATGAAAGAAAACCGACTCAACTAGAAAATAATCCTAAATATTTACATTAACAACAAATGGTTGTTTCCTACAAGTAATAGATAATTTCTCAATATTGTATCTGGGCATTAACTCTAATTTTCCACAGATAACTTTGTAGGTTTTTGTGCTCTGAGAAATAAATGGTCTTGCTTTTACAGGAAATGCAATCTTTATTCCATTTCCCAACCGGTCTAGTATCTGGTCCCACTGTTCCGGGAGATGGCACCTTTGAAAGTCATTCTTTTCCAGCAAAATATGCCTTCCATCTTCAGTCTCTACACCCTGGTCTTTAAATAGAGCTCTGAAAACATCATGCCTGAAGTTTAGCACTGTTGGTAGCATACTTTTTTATTTTAAATTTTCCAACATTGCAGTGTGAAGCGTATCAACACATGAGGAAAGCAGATCTGCAGCTGGCTGTGGGTTCCAATATGTTCTACAGCAATATGAAAGAAAACAAGATGTCAAAGTCTATCCTTGACGCAGACTTTTAAGCTGTTAAGCATGATCTTCTTGTAAATATGTAAAATATCAACTCAATCAAGTCTCAATATATTAAAATACCGCTTACCTTAAGGCAAAAGCATTTAAATTTTCTTCAGGCTCCCAACTATTTTCCAATGAGCCATATCCACTCCACTTTACGAGATATTCAGCCTTATTAAAATGTATAAAAGACAGCAAGTTATTATATTAAAATAGCACATATTTCTACAATACAACACGACGATAAAAACACTATTAAAATACATTTATGTTGCTTCACCTTTCTTTTTCGCGTTCTTCTAGAGATAATTCTCTCTACTTTATAAAACTTCCCTTTTCTCTTCTTATTTTCAATAAGAAAATATGCCGTGCTCAGATTATTTAGTTCTCGATAAAAATGAACAGCCATTTGTATTTACCAAACTCAACCACTGATCTGTATAGTGCACTGAAGTGCCCGCGCGCCTGACCGCTTGCTGTCCTCCATTTCTGGCCATGCAAATTGTTAAGTAGCCTAAAAGTCTGTGATTCGTTAACAGGATGCAAAGTAAATTCCAAAGTATTTAGAGTATCACTCAAATGCCTGCCAAAATTTAAATTCTGAGTGTGTTCAGAGCAGAAGTCCACAATTTTACCACCAATACTTGTAAAATAGTCATTAAGACAATTAGCCATTCTCATAGGAGAAGTAGTTGTATCATTTCCTAGCTTTAGTTCGTTAATTGTTGTGTCCTTCTTTTTTCTTCCAAGGATATCATTAATCGTTCTCCAAGCCTGTTTAGGATTATTTTGATGTTTGTTGAATTTGCTTTTGTAGTAAACTTTCTTAGCTTCACGCATTGCAATGTTGACACTATTCCTATAATGTTTATACTGGCTCCAATCTTCACTCAAATCCGACAAAATTGCTTTTCTTTTCAAACGGTCTCTTTCAAACATTTTGTTTCTGATATTCCTAGTAATCCATGCCACAGATGTTTTATTTCTTACCCGTCTTTCCCTATCAGGGGCATGTTTATCAAGAACAGTCATAAAAAGATTTTTCCAACATGCCCATTTATTATCAATATCAGTTTCTCTGTCAACTAAATACCACGGTAAGTTTATAAGGTCGACTTTGAAATTCTCAACATTGAAATGCTTGATGCTTCGAAATTCGACTTTTTTGCTAGCGTGAGGTTTAGGATATGAATTAATTTGTCTTACTACATAAATTAAACTATGATCACTCACTCCCATATGAATTACATAATGAAATGCAATTCGCTCAGGACAGGAGGTAATACAAACGTCTAGTAACGTAGAAGACGATTCAGTAATCCTTGTAGGCTTATCGATTACTTGTGTAAGTTGATAAAGTTGCATGATAGAATGTAAGTGTTTAGCAGAAGAATTGGAATGGTCTAACAGATTACAGTTTAGATCTCCTAATAAGTGAATTTCCTTATTCTCGTTATCGACATTCTTAAGCAAGGATTCAATTTGTGAGAAAGATTCGACGGCTGCTGACGGCGGACGATAAATAGTAGAAACGATAAAGGAACGAGAGTTGGGCTGGTTAATTTCCAAACATACCGACTATAAATTTTCCGGCACAAATCACCACGAATTAAATGATATGGTCCGCCTAATGTAAAAACAGACACCGCCACCGTGTTTGTCCCTATCCATGCGAACTACATCACATCCGTCAATATTAACAAATTCATTTGGATTATCAGGGTGAAGTCTTGTTTCATTGAGTGCCAGAATATCAACAGTCTGAATTTCTAACAATAAGCGAATTTCATCAATGTGTTTCGACAAACTGAAAATATTCAGTAATGCCATCTTGAAACCCCTAAGATATGGTAACCTATTCGAATACAAAATTTCCTCCGAGTTAGTCTGACGGATGTCGCGTCAATTTAAAAAATCCATTGGTCATGATTTAGAGGTTTCATGAGAATGCATGCATTACCATTTCAACTAGGCCTGTTTGAATACCATGAGCATTGAAACAATGTAAAAACCATGTCTATTAGGACTGTATTATTGGTGGTGGGTTAAGTAATTGTTTGGGCCACCCAAAGACTTGGGGTAGGCCAGGGCAATAAACTACTTTAGGGTCTGGTTTGACAAATTCTCTATTCAAATTTGACACCTTGCCTTTAGATTGTGGCAAATAAAAGTCTGGACATTTGCTTAACCCCCCCCCCCCCCCCATTAAACCATACTTTGTGTAAAGTGCTGAGATTAGCCAACAGCTAGTGCAAAAGTTTGCAATTGCACAATGGGAGATTAACACTTGAACAGATCAACATATGACATTGTACGAATAATATGCAAAATAAAGTATTGTCCAGTTAAACAATATAGGGGTCCTGGTAAGCTAATCTGCCCCTGATTACACACCATTCTGTTGCCCAGTGGTCACCATGTCTAGGTTCTTAGTTTTGAGCACCAAAAATGTTTAATGTTTATCAAAGTCTTAAGTCTGTAATTATTTTTAAATACAAAAAGTTTCTATCTTTGATAAAGTTTTATGTATAATAAATTGAACAGTTAGTTCAATAAAATAACTGAATATTGATGTAAGCTTTCTTATTTTGTACTCTCAGCCGTCGGAAAAAGAGTAATGAGACCAGCTCTCAGGCAAGCATACAAGTAAGTTCGCATCTGTATTAATATATATATATCATAAAATCGTGGGATATTTGGATCCAATGTGTAAACAAGACTTGTCGCAAAAGCGATTGCAAATACACTACAATCTGAATCATTTGACTGTTGCTGTATTCGAGAGATTTTGCATATTCAGACAAAGGAATCTCATGAATAATTACTTTTTCTGTCTCGTTGTTTACGTTTAGTTCCGAATCGCTGGTCGCTATGTTGGAACTTCACTCAACCAACATGGCGGCGTATAACATTCATTTATGCCGTGACGTCATGTGAAAAGACACTACAGGAGGCGAATATAAATCCCCGAGCAGACATAAGTAGACGAGGGCCTAGTAAGAGAAAACAGCCGGATTTCACTCGGGAAATCACTGCGTAAACACAGAGGCATTTGAAAAACAATTGATCGAGTGTAAACAAAATGCTGCCCGTGGAACTCTGAAAAATCGCCACTAGAATGCAGAAGACATGCACTTAACGAATGAAAAGCATGCATTGATAGATAACCCGTTCAACACTGACGACCTAATAGATAAACCACTGTCAGAAACAACACTCACATTCGCAAAAGAAAAAAGGCGAGCGCCCAGGTGCACGCGAAATTTGAGAAATAAAACCACAAACCTGAGGCTGGTCTTGCAGGAGAATTGAGGAGCAAGTGACGCTTCGACATTGACTGCCCGAGCTGGGCGTCGAGGAGATTGCGGCTCTTCGATCCCGAAGGTGCATTTAAACTCGATAAAATGCCGTATTAATCGGGATCCGTTTGAATTCAAACGAACGAGCAAAATACAAGTAAGTGCCAGTGAAGATCGACAAGTAATACAACAGTTATGACTTAAAAATCCTGCACCTAAGACTAAAATGTGTGGAAAATACGAACACATGCAGACGCGAAAAATTACAGGAATACAATGAGCGGTAGGATTATAGAGAATTCTACCTGGAAAATTTGCGGGACAGGGACGAACCACTTAAGTTGTGAAGTGACAACAAACCGATAGCTGATTACTTCAAGTACAGCGTTCGTATGTTCTTCGACATACATGACAAGTCAGATTAATTGGTGAAAGGCGTTGCGTTAAATTTCCAAGGCCGGGCTCGGCTGCGACACTTGTGACTTGGATGACCAAAACTTTTCAACGCCGTCCTTCCTTTTTGGTGGAAAATGCTCAAAAATACCGATTTTGTGCAACTTTTATACTGTCTGACAATCACGTGTTGTATATGGATGACCAACTAATCATCTCATCCATAAATACTCAAATTGTATGGTATTGTGAGAGAAAATTCCCAGTGAGGATAACTATATTATGCCTCGCCCGCGCGCAGGCAACAGGAATTTCGTTACGACCATAACATTGGGCTGCCTATGATGCGATGCTGTAAAATGCAAAATTGGAGATTACTGTAGGTCGTTAGTAATTTGCCTCAATTGCAGGTTGCAGAACAAAATCAGTAGAAATATTTAGTGTAACGTTTGCCTGATTTACATTACTACCTATTGTGCTTTTGTTGCTTGTTCCTATTAGCAGTAGCGCGATATTTTTATGTTGAGTTGAAATGAAACAGACAAATGTCGTAAAAAAACCCACTGTACAAATATTGAAAATGCAGAATAGGTATAGTCACTGAAATCAGGCCTACACTGCTCTAAATACTTCGACTGACTTCGTTTTGCAGACAGAGATTGAGGAAAGTTGCAAACTACTTACTTTATTGTCAAATTGTGCGACTTACAACGTCGCATTATCTAATTATAACTATTTACTGTTGAAGCCATTGTGGTAAAAAATGGACGAAAATTAAGGGATTTGCCTTGTCATTGTTTTTTCACTTTATCTTGTATTTTACCAGTCTCATTTTGACTTGCACACCGTTCTCCACTCAGCTCTCCTCACCCGACGTAGCTTCATTTCTCAGCCACGTGTAGTCACAAGTTCTTTCTTCTGTTTACCTTTTCCAAAGCAATGAGTCTTTCGCTAAATTTCTGAAGCCACAACGGTAGACAACGCTAACACCATTAGAAACGCAGAACGATTTTATTTCATAAAGTACGAAACAATTTGATTTGCATTATTACGTTCACCGCACGACAAGTTGGACTTTGTGGAAGACAGGGCAAGACGGGGCCTATTTTCAGAATTGGTCATTAGAAACATCATCGAGGAAAGTTACTGGGCCTAACTAGGAGGTAGTGAAGTGAAAAAGTGGGAGACTATAGGTGCATGGGCCTGAGGACCACTAGTTCCCAGAAAAGATTTGTATTTTTGAGCACCTCGGCCTAGACTATCGGTATTTTTTAAACAACGTTTTGACATACATACTTTAAGCATCGGCGAATCAGGGAATCGAACAGGGAATAAAGTAGTGGGGAAAATGGGACGTACACTTTATTATTATTATTTTACTTTTTATTATTATAACTTTATTTACACACGGTATTCTCATCAGGATTTAACATGCAACAAATTAAATTAGATAAATACAAAAGTAGAACCACGCGAAATAGAAAATATAATACCTGCTTTTCATGAGGGTCGTGTACTAAGCTAATATAACAATATATAAAAGAAAGTTAAAATAATTTGGCACAGCCCGATCGGAAATTTATCAAGTTATTTGCTTGCCGTAGCCCAATCGGAAGACTGTTCCACAGCACCGCATCACTATAGCTAAAGCTATTCTTGAGATAGTTTGTGCGGGGCTTGGGAACAGCTACAATCTTTGACAATATAGATTGGGACAATCTAGTTTTCACATGCACTCGGTTGTAATATACCATTTGCTGATACATATTTTCCACCCTCCCTCCCCCCGCCCGTTTCAATGTTGGCGCCGCACATCCAGACATCAGATTTTTGTTGGCCCAACATTGAACTGGGGAACGGGGGGCGCTATTCCTTTCAAAATATATGAAATTACAGCAGCTGTCCCATAGTTTCTGGCAAAGATTGTCTTGGTGGTGATCAATGGTGTTTGGAATTTGGTAATTAAACGTTTTAGTTTTAAGTTTATACCGCCCAATTACATATATTCCAGTATCGAAGCATATGTGGGCAACTTTTGGCAGTTTTAGATACTATCCATTCATTCCGGGGGGTGTGTGTTATTTTTAACACTTTATATACCAATACAGGTACGTGTGCTACTAGCTATAATGCTTAATAAGCACATTTATATTCACGTCTAATATCATCATAGCTCTCTTCCTTGTGAAAAATCCGCGGAAATTTACTCAAAAGTTACTTGCTGTCTTTGGAATGATGCAAAAGACCATAATTACGACGAACCTGGAACAGAACTATTCAGAAATAATCGGTTTGTGAGTCGGGTAGGTTTAAATCTCATCTCACAACATATTAAACTGCGGGGAAAGACAAATAAATATGCATTGTTTTCGCCTTTTACAAACTTATACTTGAGAACTGGAGCAATTTCCAAGCTAAATTACGTTTGCAGTATAAGATTTATAGCACAGTTCATAACGCAGCCAGTAGTCAAATTTCATACGTCTCATATTACACGATGCTCACTAACGAATCTCGGTCTAAAACGCTGATTTGCGTTACTATAAATTTTACTTATCTTACATTTTATATGCATATGGGTACAAGAAACCATTTTCCTTAATTACAATCGGTTAACTTTGCAGATATCCCTTTTTAAGTTCGTTTTTGAACGAAGCTCACTACAAAACTGTAAATAAATCTATATCTCATCGGCTATTTTATGACAGAAAGTGAGAATCGTTGCTAGAAAATCATTCGTATCTTAGTCAGTTCGTTACGAAAACTTGTAAAATCGTCCTATCTTGTAAAATATGCTGGACTTTAGATGCCTAAGGTGAATTTGTTTGATATTGTCTGCTATTAAGGCTTTTATGGCGTGTGAGCCCATCAAAATATGGTGAGATTCGTGATGAGCTTCGTTTCTATACGGAACTCGAGCTCATTGTCACATATACGCGCTTAGTTTACTAACAAGTTGGCTCAGTTGTCAACTTTCTTTAAATATAGTTCCAATACTGTTACCATGCATGGAATTCAATGAATTGTGACTAAAATGTACCACTACAAGCCTTTAAATCTGATTTTAAATATACGCGATGAAATTCAGCCGGATTTTAGCTATTTCCTAACACACGCATACGCAAGCATTGTATAACACAGTACACGCAAATTATCTGTGCGCAACGAAATTGCTAAAGGATGGTAAGGACCTAAAAGGTGTGAAGAACTTATGAAAATTGACTGCGTACACAGCTTGATGATGTCTACAAGTTGAATTAAGTTAAATTTATGAGTAATGGTATTACTTCAACAGACAATCTTTGACAATATAGATTGGGACAATCTAGTTTTCACATGCATTCGGTTGTAATATACCATTTGCTGATACATATTTTCCACCCTCCCTCCCACCACCCGTTTCAATGTTGGAGCCGCGCATCCAGACATCAGATTTTTGTTGGCCCAACATTGAACTGGGGGAACGGGGGGAGCTATTCCTTTCAAAATATATGAAATTACAGCAGCTGTCCCATAGTTTCTGGCAAAGATTGTAGATCACTTGCATGAATGCTTATTTACCATACGTTTTTCCTCTATTAGCTTCCTTGATATAAACCTATAGCAAAATTCGAGCAATATGTTTACCAGTCGAAAGAAATAATTTCGTCATGCAGAGTAATATGTCTTGTTTTTTGTCGAAATTTCCGAGGTGCCAGCCCGACGATTTTGTCCCGCTATGCAAATATTTTTGTGTTCATTGACTGTGAAAACAATCAATTTCTAAAGAAATGAATAATAATAATTTGAATTTGCATAGCGGGACTAAGACCCCGTTTACACGGTATATACCGGACGAATTTGGAACCCGGACTAAAATTGGTCCGTTTCGGCCGTGTAAACACACGAGAACCACGGAACCGGACGAATTTGAGACCCCTAACAGGACGAATTCGTGTGTAAACAGGCGAAAAAGGACGAATTTCAGACCGGCCCCAAATTCGTCCGGTACCGTGTAAACGGGGTCTAAATCGTTGGGCTGGCTACGCCACCGGGTGGTTAGAATCATGTGTTCGAGCTTTTTTTTAGCTTAAAGTTAACTATCTGTTCCTCAAAGAGGTAGTGTCACAAATATCCCAGCAATAAAAGGCCATCTTCTAAGAATCGTGAGTATAAAATATTTATCACTATGTTAAGTATAACAAACGCTAAAATCCATTTAGCTCTCAGCCTCTATTTACCTCCTCCCTCCAATCAGCCTCCAGTCGAGAACTACTGGAAAATAAGAGGAAATACGTACAGTACCTGACTTTCAAAAAATCTCAGGAACACAATATAATTTGAATTGTGTTCTAGAAGTTGGTTGAAGTATGTTTCATTTTCAGAATTATACTCCTTGCCATCACCAATCACCAACGTCAGAGGTAGAGCTCCAGAATTCAAATATGCAGTGACATAGGGGTCTTTCGTGTTTGCATGATAAGGTTTGAGATCGCTTTTTCCAATTTCTTCTACTCTTCGATTTTTCGGAGCATCCTTTACAATGATCATCACTTCTCTAAATGCAAAACATGCCAGTATTATAGAAAAGCATTGTGCCATAATCTGGTTAATTAAGTCAATATATAGATCCTTTCATGACACTTACCAAGCTGACGTGGCCAGAATGTTTCATGTGTTTTCGTCATTTGGAAAATCCCACCAATTCTTCATGCCATTCAGTCATTCACTGTTTTGTTCTTAACTTTGTTCTTTTCGAAGTTTGTCGTGTATGCATGCATGTATTTATCTAGTGTATTTTGTTTCATTACATAATTATGTGTCAATTTTACTTGTTCAATATGTCACTGTGATGTTCTTATAGCGTCTTTAAAAGATTAGTCCGAAGATTATTTAATTTAATTGATGCGAATTGATACCAATGCCTGCAGAAGCAGATGTGGATTAATCGTCACAATTAATATAATATTGTGTAGTTTAATTTCGTAACTTTGTCCTTTGTGTATACATGTCTTATTTCCCGTCTCTTAATGAGTAAGCAATGTAATGATCATGCCATGCAGACACTTACTTGATATACGTCGCAGGTTTGGTTATTTTTATGGTTAAACTTGAATAAGACGCCGCGACAGGATTCACACGCTCTAAACAATCACAAGTAGTTTATTATTTAAGATATTCTATGCACACATGTCTGCAGGAAAGTTGCAGTATTTGTTCCAACAAACTGGTATAAAGTCGTTCTTGGATTGCTTCTTCCAAGTTTATTACCAAGCTATCGACCGTTTGTTGAAAATGACTACAAGCCTAACATTACCAATCAATTTACTCGAATCCTCCCCCCC